ATCCAACTCACCACATAACACGTGGGAAATTTGGTTTCGAACACTGCTGTTTCCGTCCGACTTCGCTCTGAGCTTCATGCACGACTTCTCCGAGCAAATCTGATGGCAGTCCGCGCGAGAGAATTTCGCGCCATAAGATTGCGTTAATCGACTCCACGGTGGGCTCCTGATCGGCGGTCTCCTCTATGATGCTTCGTCCTTATTCTTCCCCAACTCTTTTTCTATACTCATGGGATGCTTCGCGAAGGTGAATGCGGCTCTGAACAATTTTCTCCCCATATCTATCACTCACGAAGGAGGGAACCTCTTTCTGTGAAATACCTCACAATGGTGTATGGTCCTCGTGACGGGCAACGGAAATTGAAACCTAATGAATATTTGTGTAGCATCCCATACATCCTTCATTACAGTTTACCCGATGAGCTCCGATATCACAAGCGAGCACCTAGAGAGTCTTCGCCACGCATTCTGTCGAGAAAATCTATGGAGCACGACTGGGACGCGAGGATTGAGCAGTTTGCGAAAAACCTGGCACAAATTATACATATGGATGAGAAATTATTGTCGTTTTCAAGGCATCTGACCGACGAGCCTTCTGGACTCGCGACTCACGAGGGTCGCTCGCGTTCGTCCTTCCCGACCATTTGCACCATCATGTGCTCCTCCATGTGCACGGAGACGGAAAGGTGGGCCGCCTAAATTCACGCATGCAACGATTTCCAGAGCAAGGAATTGAGGTCCGAAATTTAGAGCTTTTACTTTGATTCCAATCGAATTCATTGACATCATCAAGAAGTTGGATTTTCTCTCCGATTGTACGGTTCGGCGTCCCACCGAATTCCAATGAATCTACCCAGAACACTCAATAACAGATTTCACTCCTGGTTCGTCTACTTGAGGTAGTGGAAATCCCGAGACTGTTTCGACGTCGGTCGGAGCGGGCAGTAGCCGGTTGTGTGAGCGTAGTCGCCTCCTACATTGTGGCAGATCTGGCAACGGTAAGTCTTCAGCTTCGGGCACGTCACTTTGCTGAAGAAGTTCTTCAGGGTGTGGGATCGGTATTCTTCGGCTGCCTCACCATTCTTCAAACAAAATGGACAGTAGTCCAGTGAAGCGAGTGGTATCAGCTGGGCCTCCTCTTGTCGGCGCGATTTCGATCCTGAGCCGTTGCGCGCCCCGACCGACGATCTGCGTTGACCATTCTGGTCCCTGCCTCTCCGCATATTCGCTGCATTCATGGGGCGGTCGGGAGTCGCTGCTGGGAAAATCCCGAACGTGGATGGCTATCCCCGCTCAGATCTCTCTCTCTGAGCGCGTCGATCTCCGCAATATAGAGCTTGAAATCCAGAGCGTTCAAGTCCCGCTCGATCTCCTCGAGAGACCGGAAGCTGTAGATGGTGGAGGAAGCCATCGTCTCGAGTAGTTTCGATCAGAGAAGTTGTGAAGTTGATCGAAGGAGTTGCAAAAGCCTATTGTGCCTTCTGCTTGCTGGAGTCTGCCTTTTAAGCACCGAGATCGACCTCGATCCGAGTTTCTCTAGCTTCAGTCTGCCGCAACTCGGGTGAGTGTAATGGGACCCTCGGTAGTACCCACGGTGATTTACTTGCAGCGCCCCCAGCGATCGATGGCTTGCGAAGGATTCCAGGATCCGTGGGGTGCATTCCTGCGAGATTCTTTCACCGAGGGGTCGGTGATTCCGCGCTTATTAGAGAGCGCGAGTCCGGTGCTTGTGTGGAAGTCTAATCTTTCTTTCGATCGCTCTCCGAAGACTTCAGAGAAGAGCTCATGGATTCAGATAGATCCATCGACGACCTCCTGATACCGAAATTGACAGAGCTCTCGGTTCAGTGTTGGAATGCGGATCGATTTCCGATACTACCGAATTTTTACTCAGCCAGACCACTCTTCCGGGCA